GGGAGCAGGCGGCACAGAGAGGCAGACAGACAGAGGGAGCAGGCAGCACAGAGAGGCAGAGGAGCAGGCACAGGGGGCTCACTCCGGCCGGGAGCCAGGCTCTGATGGTCCCAGCTCCACGTGGCTGGGTGAACAGCTGAGCGAGGCCCTGGGCTCCGGGACCTCAGCCGCGTGGCTATGGATGAGGCAGGGCCACAGGAGTGACTAAGTCCCTTTCAGCTTTACGAGTCTATGAGCTAATGGTTAATAGTAGAAAAGACCATGAAACACGAAAATATTAAAAGAGTAACTGCAAAACAGCAAAACAAAATTCACGGAGCCGCTAGCGGCCACACAGGACAGCAGGTGAGTGCGGGGGAAGTGCTGCTGGAAGAATGCCCCCCATCCTCCCGCCCCCCAGCCTCTCCCGCGAGTGCTCCCGGCTCCGGGCTCCCAGGCCCGCTCACTCCCGGCTGCTGGGCTAGCACCTTCCTGCTCTGAGGATGGTGATGCTCAAGAGAGCAGCAGTTCGAATGCAGGCAAGTCCCACGCAGTTCCCAGTGGGAGTGGCCGCCTCAGCTCAAGGGCCAGCCAGGAGGTAGGAGCCTCGCCTTCCCCCTGAGCTGGGCCGGCCGCTCTGAGGCAGGAGTCTCGCTGTCTCCCTGGCAACTGCTGAGAGAGAGGAAAGGAACACAGCAGGCGGTGGGAGAAGCCCAGGTCAGCTCACGTGAGGACAGCAAGAAGGGACCCGCTCACCTAACCTTTCCACCTTATTGGACAGTTTAGGAAAAATAGGAGGATTTACATGATGGATCCCAAGGGACCAAAAATTGTAATCCAAAGAGGTGATAAAAGGTAAGAATGAAAATGTGTAAAACTTTTAAAGGGAAAGTGCAGGATCCCCAGCCCGTTATTACAGTAAGTGGTCGTGACGAAGCCACGCTGCCGCTTCCGGGGAAGGCTGGCGGGTGTGGGCTCCCCCCATGTGCCCGGAAGCCGCTTCCTGTGCTCCCAGGCGACAGCAATGAAGGTGGCAGAGGCAACCAGGACGCACACCTTCCTACGTCCTGTGCAAGACCTGCCGGCTCTTCACAAGCCTTTTGTGGTCGGGCCCCCGGTTTCTAAACATCTGCTGTGAAGCCACAGGTCACAGAACCCCGCTGGGACACCGGGACGGCGAGAGCCAACAGCCGATGTCCAGGTGGACACGTGAGAACGTGGCCCGAGCCGGGGCCGCACGGCTGCACTATGTCGCCAGCAGTGACTGTGCGAGGCAGGGTTGAGTCCAAGCATGGACGCTGCTGTACAAAGCGTGACTCCTCGAGCCTGTGAGACGACAACTGGACCGAGGGGCAGCGGGGGCCTGGGATCCTGGAGACTCAGTGACGGACAGGCACCCGCAGCTGGAGGCCCTCGCAGGCGATGAAGCGTTGCGCTGGGTGCCGGGCGAGTAGGGACCCACACGCCCCCCTCCGCACTCCCCACGTCCTCTCTGGGCCTCCGGAGTTTCCACTCCCTCTGAGCCAGAGCCCACGCAGGATGCTGGGGCCACAGAGGAACGTGTGTGTTCAAGCCCCGCCCCAGGCTGGCCAGGGCCTGCAGTTGCCACCGAGGAGTGGGCCCGGCCCTGCCCTGCCCACGGCCGGGCGAGCCTTTTATGAATGTCATGGGCCGAGCAAACAATGCTTCCCTCAGTCAAGGACCCTGGTTCCTGGGCAGCCATTCTGCCCCAGCTTCTACGTGACCGCTCATCCTGTAAGGCCACCCCACACGGGATGTGAGCAATGGATGCTTCCTGCCGCAAGGCAGCCAAACGCGAAAGAATGTGTCCTCAGTGCTGGAACGCGGTGGGGGCCGCGACAGTGCGTGTGGCCGTGCCAGAGGCCCCCGCAAAGCCGGGCTCCGCCTTCCCACATGGGCTGTCTCCTGACCGGCTGACGCCAGGTGTAGAAAAATAAACGGAGGAGGAAGAAAATGCTAACCACGAGATCACCAGCGACAAGGAAACGCTGGGAAAACGAGCTCTATGTATCGAGTGGAGCAGGTGGCGTCCACCCAGGTTGGCTGCGGACAGAGGGGAGGCAGGGCCTTTGCAGTCACCACCAGTCCCGGCATTCGGGGTGAGCGTTTCACACCCACCGCCTCACCATACACAGCAAACATGCAGGACCAGGAAAACAGCGCTTTGTTACGTGACACAAACACCACTGTCCTGACCTGGGAAACTGTCCCAATAAAGGCCGGGCCACAGGGCCTTCCCACACCCCCTGACGTCACCAGGCAACCAAGCCTCTGACCCCAGGAAGGCCCGGGGTGAGCGCGCGCTCTAGGGCCTGTCCCCTCCAGGGGGCCCCGTGTCCCACGGGGAAGCTGACCAGCGGGAGTCTGCTGTGTCGCACGCAGGTGCTGAACCAGACGACGAGACTCGAGCTCCAGCTCCTGGAACATTCCCTGTCCACCAACAAACTGGAGAAACAGATCCTGGACCAGACCAGTGAGATCAGCAAGCTGCAGGACAAGAACAGGTAAGAAAGCACAAAAACGTATAATTTGGAAAAGCGAGTCCATTTTTAGTCCAAGTGTTCTTCTTTAATGTTTCAAACTTCCGCTTCTGCAAAGCGGGAAACACACGGGCGAGACCCATAACTGAGCCGCAGCGTCTCTTGGCGCATCGTGCTGGGCGGGCGGGGCTGACGGCTGCGCGGTCACTCGCCAACGAGCCGGGGCAGGGTGTGCGAGCCCTGGCCAGCTTGCTGACACACCGAGCAGTGGACATTGTCTCGCTCTGTCGCATTCACTCCGCAGTGCTAGCACCCGCGGGCATGTTACCCCGCTGCCATCCGGGTAAAGGTCTGTCCAATCATACTGCCCTTTCCCCACAGACGTGGGGCGGCTCCCGAGCTCAGACACCGCTTAGCCCCGCACCTACGGCCTGCAAACGGCTCAGTCAGCTGGAGTGGTTTCAAACGTGATCATGACTCCACTCCTTTAGCCGCCCTGATGGGTGGGATTCTGTGTGAAGCTTTACCACGCATGGACCAGGGACCCGCCACACCGACTGGCTGTGCCTCCGACTCATCTGGCCTATAGGACCCTCCACATTCTTTCACACCTTTTCGCGAACATGCTTCCCATGCCCCCAATTAACTCTGCTTCCCCAATGATGCGCAGCCAGTGTGCATGAACTGAGATTTAAACGTCACAGGCACTGACTGAAAAAGTCCACGCACACGTGGACCCGCAGTTCAGACTCGTGCTGTTCAAGGGCCACTGTATTGATTTCCTTTCATTGAAAGGGCCGGGTGCGGCTCCCTGGGCTGAGGTCTCAGCCAGCGCTGGGCCCCGCCCTGCACGTGCAGCGCTGCTCTGACTAGGACAAGCGACCTGGAGCGCTGGGGGCACCTGTGCCCGCACTCCGGGGGCGGGGGGGCCGGCCCGGCTGGTCCTCTGGTTGGGGAGGACCGAGCCTGGCGTGGCTCCTGCCTTCGAGAGGAGGCCTCTGAGATCAGCATGTGGCGGCCTCTGCAGCTATGCTGGTCCAGTTCGGGGAGAAATAAACTCGTTTCTTGAGAAAACTCCTGCCCGCGTGTCCCCACGTCCACTCACGTGACCCCCTCTGGGCCACGTGACCCCATCTCTCACGCCCCCGTGGAACAGTGTGCGGGCGGCAGAGGCAGGACGGAGTGCCCGCAGGAGTGGCTCCAAAGCTGGAGCCTGGGGGCGCTGGCAATGACGTCAGACGCTTTGCACATTTATCTTCGTTACCTTCTGCTGCGGTGAGTCACCTTGGTTTTTAATTAATGATGGTGACGTACAACTGAAAGTGACCTGGCTGATATCAAGGAACCTGTTCAGAAATGGCCACTGAGAAGGATATGGGGAACGGTGCACGTCGAGTGCACGTGACCGCATGGAGAAACGGGCCACTTGCCGGCGAGGCGCGGACAGGAGCTACTGTCCTGATTCCCAGGGACCGAGGGCTGGGGTGCAGCTACCAGATACAACTGAGGGTCTGATGGTAACTGTTCATGCTGAACGCTCACGCTCACAGTGAAGGCTTTACTGGGTGGCCGGTTCCGTGGCTGAGTCATGTCCACCGGGAACGATGGAGATGTACTGCCCCAAAGAAGCGCAACCGCGTCAGACCACAGAGCAGAAGGGCCTCTGAGGCCACGTACCTCGTGCCTTCGTTTATAACGTCCCTGTGTGCAGTGATGTTCACTGTGATCGGCAGGGCATTCACTGAGAGCCAGAGAGCGCAAGGCCTGCCCAGGTAACATGCGAGGTCACCTGAGGAGGGAGGGCTCAGCCTGCTCTTCCCACGGCCCCGCCCACCTGCGCTCCCAGTGCTGAGGCACCTCTGCATGGTCCACGCTCCTCTCCGCGAGGCCGTGGTTGCCAGCCTTCCTACACAGACATCCTGGGACAGACAACCTGCCGCAGCCCCGACGTTCTCACTAGGGCATTTCCTCCTCAAATCCCTCCAGAGGGACGCATGGCCACCTGCTACCCCCGGAGCGGCCTGAGAGCCCCCTCAGGGCTGCAGCCACATCACCGTGCAACTGCTGCTCTGACATCTTTAAAAGATATGTTTATTGATTTCAGAGAGGAAGGGAGAGAGAGAGTCATCACTGATGAGAGAGAACCACTGATCGCTGCCTCCTGCACGCCCGCTGGGGATCAAGCCCGCGATCCAGGCCTGTGCCCTGACGGGGAATCGCACTGTGCCCTCCTGGTTCATAGGTCGGTGCTCAACCACTGAGCCACGTGGGCCGGCTCCTCTGACATGTTAACGTGCCCTGGAGAAGCAGAAACTCCAAGGACATGAGTCCCTGGGCGAGGTTATGAGAGTGACCCGACGGGCACGGGCCTGGGCCGTGGGGCGCGGAGCACCTGCATCGCTGACTCGCTTTCCCCCCCCAGCGTCCTGGAGAAGAAAGTGCTCGACATGGAAGGCAAGCACACCGTGCAGCTCCAGTCCATGAAGGAGGAGAAGGACCAGCTGCAGGTGCTGGTGTCCAAGCAGAACTCCATCATCGAGGAGCTCGAGAAGCAGCTGGTGACGGCAACGGTGAACAACTCCGTCCTGCAGAAGCAGCAGCACGACCTCATGGAGACCGTGCACAGCCTGCTGACCCTCGTGTCCACGCCGGGCTGTAAGTGCGGCCACCCCCCCTCAGTCCTGCACACCCTGGTGGCCAGCCCCCCCTCAGTCATGCACACCCTGGTGTCCACGTCGGCTGTGAGGGAGGCCACCCCCCCTCAGTCATGCACACCCTGGTGTCCATGCTGGGCTGTAAGTGCGGCCATCCCCACCTCAGTCATGCACACCCTGGTGGCCACACCCACCTTAGCTCCAGTGCAGTGGAATTCAGTCAGTGAAATTCTCAAAATTCTAAAAAATTCTCATCTTTCAGAAAAGGCATTTCTTCTCTTACATATCCTATATAATAAAAGGGTAATATGCAAATTGATCAAACGGCGGAACAACTGGTCACTATGATGCGCACTGACCACCAGGGGGCAGACGCTCAACACAAGAGCTGCCTCCTGGTGGTCAGTGCGCTCCCACGGGGGAGCACTGCTCAGCCAGAAGCCGGGTTCATGGCTGGCGAGGGAGTGCAGAGGCGGTGGGAGTCGGACATCCCCCGAGGGCTCCCAGACTGCGAGAGGGTGCAGGCTGGGCTGAGGCATGCCCTGACCCAGTGCAAGAATGTTGTGCACCAGGCCTTTAGTTTGATATAAAAGCTTTACAGGGTCTCAATACAGAACCAAGTAAAAAGGACAAAATAAAAGGAAGGGAGAGGGATGTATTTACACAAAATAACTGTTATGAAGCAAAACATCCCAAACATACTTTTGATCCATGGGCTTCGCAGAGCCTATGAGTTAATTCCATCATTCGCTGGATATATGAGGCTGGGCAGGGTAATGTCTTAACCCCGAGGACTGTGGGAAGACTGAAGGAGACACTGTCAGTCACTGGGTAACGCTGCTCCCTCCTCTAACACCCACATTTGTGCTGCCGCCCACCCCCACCCTGCACCTGCGGGCCCCCTGCCCCCACGCCACACCCCCTGCAGCACCTGCTTCTCTCTCCACCTCCTCACACTGAGGGCGAAGGCTGGGTCTCCAGTCCTTAATTAGAGATGTGACATGTGATTGTGGGCGCTCCAAGCCTTTTCTTAAATACACGGGGTCTAGTTCCTACTACGGCTCATCTGATACTGTCCTTCCGACTTGTATCTTCGACAGACACACTTTGCGCAGGAGTCACACTGAGCTTTCGTCTTCCCCCGAGAAACACGACCCCACTTCCCTTCAGTCGTGCAGTCACCCCATTTCAGCAGAAGCAGGTAGACGAGGTTCCTACTCAGCCAGGACGCAAACACGGGGACACAGGACCAACCTGATGCTCAGGCCAGGTCTCCCACGGGGCCAGGGTGCCACACCCGCCCTCCAGCTAGTTTCAAACTCGTGTCATTTAGGAAAAATGTTCTTTTCCTAAAGGCCCAGACTCTCTGCTCTGCTCATTCCAGCTAACATGGGGTGAGGGCTGAGGGGTACGTGCAGCCCTGGCAGGTACCACTGCTTGGGGGATGTTCTTTTATTCTCCTGTAATAACTGTACCTGGTTCTACTCAAGATGGAACAATTTGAAAAGTAATAGTTTGTTCCAGCTGATGGTGAAGCTGATAGTGGAGCAGGGAGCATGGTCTGCAGGTAACGATCACTGAGGCCACAGAGTAAGGTTTTTGGAAAAAGGGTGGAAAGCCGGCACCTCCTTCCTACTCACTGTGAGAACTCAACCGTAGTGAACTCCCCAAAGGAGTGCCCCTCAGAACCCACCTTCCACCTGCCACGAGCCCCACGTAAACGCTCTTCTGTCTCTGGAAGCAGCCAGGCCGGCCCCGGCTGCGAAGGAGGAGCGAGTCACTTTCCGAGACTGCGCGGAGGCCTTCAAGTCCGGCCTGACCACCAGCGGCGTCTACACGCTGACGTTCCCCAACTCCACGGAGGAGACAAAGGTGAGGGCTCCCCGGGTCCCCCAGCTGCGGGCAGGGCACTCTGCCCGTCCCGCGGGCTCCAGGTCCGCGCTGACCGCACGGCGCGCTGCTCCTTCTCACTCCCCTCCCCTGGCCTCCGGCTTGTAGTTGTCTTCCTTGAAGTGGGACACCCTTTCATTAAGTTTAAAGAAAACACCTCCCAATGAAGAGCCACAGCTCCCCTTTCAGTAGTTACTTCAAGTATCAATGGGGCACCCCAAAGGCTCAGGGGCCACACCTCCTCCCTCCCCAGGGCTGTCCTCTGGGACAAGCACAGCCCCGTGTGCAGGTGAGCAGACATTGCCTCCACCACACACCCGCCCCCCGCACACACCTCCCCCCGCAC